CATCATCGAAAGTATATGAAGTTACGCATAAACCTTTCAATGATTTTAATAATATCGCTCAGCATTTGTAGAATAGACATGAGATAAATGTGTAGATTTTCATAGGTGAATTTGGATAGGGTAATACGACCTCCCAAGGAAAGAGTCTTAGACTTCCAGAGATCCAACTTAACTTGGTACCACTGGATTAGAGGGTCCCACATAGACTTAGGAAGCCTCGAATCTGATATATAAACCCCCAAATATTTGAGAGGGAAAGAGTCAATTCTGCAACCAAGAATAAGAGCCAAAGCATGAAGCAAATCATTGGCACACGAAACTCCAACCATAGAGGTTTTATGGAAATTCACTTTGAGGCTCAGGGCTAGTTGGCAGCATTGTGATTCTTAATCATGATTGTATCTGCATCACAAAAGATCGAAGTATCATCAGCATATTGTAAATGTGAAATAAAATGCCCATTAATCCCAGCTTGGAACCCCTCTAGTCTTTATTTCCTCACTATATATTTAAATATCATGTTGAACCCTTCTGCCATCAAGGAAAAAGGTAAGAAGAAAGAGGGTCACCCTGTCTAAGACCCCTAGAAGCTTTGAAAAAACCTCTGGGACAACTATTAATTAGGATTGAGAAGTGAGTCGAAGAAAAACAACCCATAATCCAAGAAATCCAATTGGTGCCAAAACCCATACACCTCCTGATTTCTTGAAGGACCTGCCATTCAACCCTGTCAAAGACTTTATCCGTATCAAACTTGATAACAACCCCAGCTTTCCCTTCAAGAGATCTAGAGTGAAGGCATTCTTGTGCAATCAAAATACTATATGAGATCATTCTGTCACGAATAAAGGCAAACTGTTCACCCGAAGCCAGAGAAGGGACAACCACTTTGAGTCTTTTGGCCAAGACTTTTGCAACAATTTTGGATAGGCTCGACATAAGGCTAATGGGCCTAATATCTCCTATGTCAACAATGATATCATTTTTGGGAATAAGAGAAATACATATGGAATTAATACTTTTGATATTCTTACCACTGCACATAAATTCCTTTACCATAGACAAGAGATTTGATTTAAGTAATTCCAAAAAATTTGAAAGAAAACCATCTGGTCCGGGTGCCATATCACTTACTAGCCCAAAAACAGTTTTTCTCACATCTTCTTCAAAAACCTCCCTCTTTAGGTCCTCTGCCAAATTAGTGGATAACATATTGAAGGGAACTTTGTCCACGATAACCTCAAGATTATGCTCACAAGAGAAAGCCTTAAGAAAATGATCGATGATAGCATTTTCTTTAACCAAATAATCACCCTCAATAATTCTACAGAGAACTGTTGTTGCTATTGAATATGGTTTCAATAATTCTACAGAGAACTGTTGTTGCTCGTGAATATGGTTTGCCAACATCTCAAGATCCATAACAGCTGTATCAATTCTGTACTTAATCTGGTATCTGGTAGATTTCTTCCAAGCACTGAGTTTATGTTTGTTCAAATTAAGTTTCCTATGTAGCTGATACCCAGCACTTCCCAAAATAATATAGGTACCCCAGGTTTGTTTGATGATATCATCTACATTAGGCTCTTCAAGTCTACCAATAAACTCGTAGGTTCACTTCCTCGAATGAAACCTAAGAGTATCTATTGGGGATGTAAGCTCCTCACTAAGCGATTAAAACATATTTTTATATACACTCTGTGAGTGCATGAATAAAGAAGTCATCATAATAAACATATACTGTCCACTTTTTGGAAGGTCATATCTTTTAAAGTCTTAAAATCAATATTTTTTTTGTTTGTTTAGGAATATTGATTTGATGATTTTAATTTGGATATGAAAATTTTATATCAAAAGATAACCTTGATTAGGTCTTTTACCCGAAAGAGTAAATGTACTATATACTCCCTTAGGAGCATGGTATACTAGAAGTAAAAGGACCACCATATCATAGTTGTGAAACCAGACCGGACTGCCCGGTTTGACCAATCGATGGTTGAAGTTATTATTTGGCAAGTTAACTTTGTCCCTATCAGATATTTACTTTTGGAAAATTTCATCTAACTAGTTTAATAAAAAGTTGAACTGGTTAAAGCGTATGTGACATTTGCTCTTAGCCATTCAATTTGAGTAGAGTCCACTCGTGAGCATCAAATCTTGATTTGAGAGCTCAAATAATTTTTTTATTTTAATTTTACACTATAAATTATTTTGTAGCAAAATTTTAGTCATGCATTCATCCAATGGGGGAGCACATAGTAAAAAAATGGAAATAAAATTACCATATTACTATGAGACTTGCAAGGGATTTTTGGCCATTTATGTGCATCATAAATATTTTTTCTTTTATTTTTTAAGTGTGCATGATAAGAAGAGGGGTTTCCCCAAATTTCACTTAAAAATGTTTACAATAATATTAAAAATAAAAAAAGTGTTTTGGTCTGACATCATGATATGATCAATACCAACTGTCTATTTAGATTGAACAGCTGGGGAGTAGGGCTTCGTATATTTGTATGTAGGTGAGGTCAAATACGCAACTTCCTCCATGTATAGAGAGAGAAAACACACAGAGGGATGGAGACGACATACAAGACATTTGCACACTCACATACAAAGAGAAAAAGAGAGATGAAGATAGAGAGAAACATGGGGGCGAGAGAGACCATTTACCTCTAGCATAAGGTGGTCACAAATAATCTTGACCATTGGACATGAAATTGGATGGTTTCATTTATTCTATTGAGATTGTTTGCAGTGAGATCATTTAACTTTGATATTAGGAGGTTATAAATACTTATAACCATAAAATGTAAAATCTAGAGCTTGTATGTGTCATAAAGTTCTAGAAAATTTCTTTTGAATTCACTTAAAAATGTTTACCAAAAATATTAAAAATAAAAAAGTGTTTTTGTTAGACATCGTGATATGATCGATACCGACTGTCTATTCAGATCAAATGACTAAGGAGTAGAGTTTTGTATATTTGTATGTAGGTGACGTCACATACACAACTTCCTCCATGTATAGATAGAGGACACGGAGGGATGGAGAGGACATAAGGGACATTTCGGGAGAGATAGAGAGAAGACAAACGCTTTTCATCTTACTACGAATTTTATGGAGACTCAACAAATGGAAATAATGAAGTTGAGCTAACATTCCACTTCGTCATCCACTCTAATAATAAAATATAACATGGGATTATATACAATGAGACCATTTGTCTTTAATATAATGAGGTCACAATTATTTATAACCATCCAATATAAAATTTGATAGCTTGTGTGTGTCACAAAGTTCGAAAGAATTTCTTTTGAAATTGAAGTTTAATTAATAGCACAAGGTGGTCACAATTAGTCTTGACCATTGGAAGTAAAATTGGATGGCTTCATTTATTCTATTGGGATTATATACAATAAGATCATTTAACTTTGATATAAAGAGGTCATAATTATTTATAACCATTAGATGTAAAATCTGATAGCTTGTGTGTATCACAAAGTTCGAGAATTTTGTTTTTGAAGTTTTTTTTCTCACTGTATACTTTTCCATATAATATTTATCTAGTCAATGTAAAATGATCTTACAATGGGAGAGAGAGATAAAAAGTTAGAGAGAGAGTTTTATTTCTAAAGTAAGTAGTCGAACTAAAATATTAGATTCTTTTTAAGTAGGGAAAATTACAAAAAAGCCCCCAAGACTACACTTTCTATGCAACTTACCCAACCTAACTTTCCCAAAAATATAATTTCTATGCAAATACCCCTCCCCCCATAAAAAAAATGCGTAAACTACCCTCCTTTACTTTTATCTTACACGCCTCCCTCTCCTCTATCCCACAAAAATAGGGGCTCCGACACAGTGTAAGTACGGTCCGGTAGTATGGCTACTTTTATCTTACATGCCTCTCTCTCCTCTATCCCACAAAAATAGCGGCTCCGACACTGTGTAAGTACGGTCTGGTAGTAGGGCTCCAGCATTGTGTAAAATGCGGTTCGGCAGTAGAGCTCCGACACTGTGTAAAGTGCGGTCTGGCAGTAGGGATTCGGTACTGTGTAAAGTGCGGTTCGGCATTTGCAAAGGGCCGTCCGGCAGTAAATGTTACTGGATTCCAAGGCTCCAACACCATGTAAAGGGCGGTCCATCAGTAATCAGTTTCGGTTCGATAGTTGTCTTAAGGCAGTCCGGTACTTGTGCGCTCCCGCAATGTGCTACTGTAGTCCAAAAGGCAACGTCAAATCTGACCAAAATGATTTTTGTATACAAGAAGGGTTTTTCGTCTAAAAAAGAACTTTTTGCCTTAGAGGTATTTGAATGGAAAGTTTGTTTTGAAGAAGAAAGTGAGAGAAAAAATTAAGTTGGGTAAGGTCTTGAGTTTTTTTTGTAATTTCTCTTTAATGTATCAATTAAATTATGACTACAGTCAATGCAAAGTGATCTTTCCAAATAGAGAGAGAGTATTATATTTGTATGAATATATTGCTTAAAAATATTCTTAGTGATCTTTCCAAATAGAGAGAGAGTATTTTATTTGTATGAAAATATTGTTTAACAGTATTCTTACTAAAATATTGGTTATTTTTGTGTACCTTAACGTGCCACGTTTCAAACAAATACAAATAAGCGCGTAACAAGGGACTAAAAGAAGGAAGAAGCATCAACCCATGATCTTATATGCCGCCCAGACTCAATTACTCCTAAATGTTAAATTCAATTATTTATGCACCATTGCTTTAGTATGATTTCTTAAAATCTATATATAAGGAGCCTTGGCACTACGGTAGACCACATCAATTGTGAAGTGCTTTAAAGCAGTCCAAAGCTTTAGATACTCTGAACCATCTCAATTGTAAGGAGCACCAAATCAACTGAGAATTTTAAAGAAGTTCGAATCGGACTCGAGGTTAAGCGTTAGCTGTTGACATTAGCATCCATATATCTCAAATTCCATTCCGCTTGAAATGCCACATAATAAAGGACCCTAGAATCTAGTTCCCATGGCTCATAAGCTTGCCTTGCTTTTTGCCATTGTTGTTTTACCAGCTATTGTCTTGGCTAAGGACCATGTAGTTGGAGATGAGAAGGGGTGGACCATCAACTTCGATTACAATTCATGGGCTGAGGGCAAAGAATTCATTGTTGGAGACACACTAAGTAAATTTTCAAACTTTTTTACTACATTATTTCATTATTATTTTGGTGTTTGTAGTGATGTAGTCAGCAACATTTGGTGCTTGGGGCCATATGTTGGGTTTCCAATAGTTTGCTACCTTCTCGCGACTGTTTAATGACCAGCCGATGTTAACAAAGGATGGTTGGGGTATGTTGTTCCTTCTTCTATGAGAGCACGATCCTCCTGTCAAAGCCCATTAACCGACTTTGGGTGGAGGAACAATAAACCCCGGCCATCGTTTCTTGACATCTGATGGTTAGGAACTTGCAAATGAATTATGGGAAACTCATGTGCTTACAATCAATTTGCCATGCATGTTTATGAAATTACATGTTTGGTACGTGTGAAAATATTTTGATGAACATATTTTAACGTAAAAGAATTAGCCCATGTGATTAGTTGTGGAGGTTGTCTTCATATGAATTTGTTCCACTGCATTTTTCAATTGGTGTGAAAAACTCTGATACCTAATAACATGAGGGAGTTTGTCCATATGAAATTATTTTCACAAAAATATTTATACGAAAATATTTTCACAAAAATATTTATACACATACCAAACGTACCCATATGTGGTATTTTTTTGAAGGGTTTCATTCACTCACTTCCTTAATAATCCACCGGAAAATGTGTGTTTAAAACAAGCAAATACTAAAATATTAACAGTAACTATTAAAAAGCAACAAATAATTATTAAAAATAGTGAAAAAAAGTGAAGAGTAAAAACATCAAGTGCTAGCACTAAATACCAGTGTCTTGGTTCTGTGATAGTATGGTCCCAGCCAGTTCTCCCCAAAAATCCCAATTATAT